TCTGCATATACTGGCTATGTAACACTAGGCAAATTACTTCATTTCTCAGTGTCCTAACACAATTCTTTATGACTATAAATAGCAGAGCAGTTGCTGATCTGCATTGATACACCTTATTTCGTTGTGAAAGTTCCCTAGACCAATGAAATAAGTTGGGACAAAAAAAAGTACATCGTTTTCCTAGCCTTGAACTATCCTTGCGTTCCTGATATAAATCTAACTTCATCATAACAAATAATTCTAATTATATGTTATTGTAGGTTTTTAGACAGGCTTTTATTACGGTTGCATCAATATTCATTGGTGATAATGGTTTAAAAGTTCTGCCTCAGTACTCAGATTTGGGTATTAAAATCATTCTTATCACATAGAAGTAATATGTTTCTGAAAAAGTTTATTTAGCATAGATTTTACTTAATCACATCTTTGATAGAATTCACTTACAACGATGTGTCAGGCACTGTGGTATGGAGGATATAAAGAAAGGTAAAAATAAGTAGACAGCATAATTGTAAGGCAATTTCACACAGGAAAGCGACTAGTAGAGGGGAAGAGAATGGGGTGGGAGGCAGAGAAGGATGGAGACTGGGAAAGCTTCTTGCAGAAAGTGGGATTTGAGCAGAGTCCTGAAGGAAGACAAGGAAGCTGGGAGTCAGAGTGAAGAGGGAGAACACTGCAGGCATGAGGGCCAGCCAGTCAAGCTGGACTGCACAGCACATATAAGGGAGACTACATATATGTAAAAAGACTAGAAAGATTAAGAAGAGTCCAGGTTGTGAAGGGATCTACATGTCCCAAAGAACATTTCATATTTGGTCCGGAGGTAGTATGGAGTATAAGGGTGGCAAGGGAGGGAGAAGGGTAGGTGATTGACATGGTCAGACCAGTATTTTAGAAAAAATAACTTAGAATTTAGAAAAATAAACAGAGAATGAAATGGGGAAAAACTTGGGGTAGCCTATTACAATAGTCTAGGTGTGAAGTGATGAGGATTCGCACCTGTGGGTGGTGACAATGTCAGAAAAGAGACAGGGATATGAAAGTAATAACAAGATTTGACAACAGATTGGATAGGTAAGGTGAGGAAGAGTGAGGAGTTAAGGGTGACAGTAATCAACCTTGGTTAGCCTGGTTAACTGAAAAATGGCAGTGCTCAAGAAAATAATAGTAAAATTGGGAAGGGAGAGGGTTGGAAGATAATAAGATCAATTTAAAGAAGCTGATTTGAGATGCATGTGGAACATCTACTTTGAAATACCTTATTAGCTGGTTGTGGAATTAGAGCTCAGGAGAGAGATTATGGTTAGAGATATTTGTGTGTATATGTATGTATGTGTACACACACACACACACACAAACACACCCACACAAACACATATTTAAATATATCTATATCCAAGTCTATATAGAAGAGATTATAATAAAAATATATATTCTATTATCATTTCTAAACTGATGATTCATTTATCTCTATATTTTTACATATGTACCTATATACGTGTATATATATGTGTGCCTGTATATATGGTAATCATCAGTGTAGAGATAATGATTGAGCCCATGGGAGCTGATGAGATAGAACACCAAGTGAAGCAGTATGGAGGGAGATGAGAAGAGGACCCAAGACAGAACCTTGGGGGACCAACCATGATTAGTGGGTCTTACCTGGAGGAAGATCTAGAAAAGAATAGTGAGAAATCAGGCAAGCAGAAGAACAAAGAGATGACAGTGTCACAAAACCCCAAAGAGGGCAGAAGAATCAGAAGAAGAAAGTGATTGACAGTGTCAAAAGGTACAGAGAAGGCGAGGATGAAAATGGAGAAAAGGCAATTATTAGATTGGATCAATAAGAGATCACCAGTAATTTGGGAAATAACAGTTTCAGTTAAGAGATTAGGTTGGAAGTCAAGTTGCAAAGAATTTTGAAAGTAGAGAGAGGAAGAGGAAGCACTTGGTATAGACAGCTTTCATAAGCAGTTTAGCTGAGAAGGGAAGGAAAGCTATAGCACAAAAGCTTGCAGTGATAGAAGGATGAGTTCTTTATTTTTTTTGTTTGTTTTGTTTTGTTTTTTAAAGGATGGAGGATAAATACATGGAAGGAAGCAACCAAAGACACAGACAGAGTGAAGATCAGTGAGAAAGTATGGGGATGACAGCAGAGTTAATCTGCAGGAAAGAGAGGAGAGAACAGATGGGGTCAACAGAACATGTAGAGGTGTCAACCTTGGCCATGAGATGTGAGACCAGTGGGGGGAGATGGAGGAAATAGTGGGTGAAGTTATCTGAGTGATGTCAGATGAAGATGAGAAGACTAGGGACCTCTCAGCAAAGGTGTCAATATTTTCAGTGAACAAAATCCTTAACTGAGAGGGTGGGTGAAGATGATGCTGTAGGATATTTTGGGAGGGATGAAAAGCTTTAGAATAGCTGCTGTGGTGAGTGGGACATCAAATTAATTTGCTACAAGGAAGGCCAAACTAATATCATTTAACATAAATCTGTATTAGATCCAATCATCAGGTTTTTATGATTTTCTTCAGCTTCATTCAGCTGCGTGGGAACAGGAGCAAAAGCAATTGTGGAATAACCCAAGCTGTGGTCTAGCAAGCTGTGATCAGTAACAAGGTAGAAGAATAAAAGATTTATGAGTGAAAGATAGTTTAGTCAGTAGTGTTTAACAACTGGATCTCCAGAGGAAAAAAGAAACCTGTATATATGACACACTTTCAAGCTCAATCTGCATTACTAATATTTCTCTACCACTTTCTTAAGCATAGACATCAACCCAGCAATAAATCAAGCCCCAATTTGTAGCACTTGCTGATTTCTAAGGGGTAAATTCTCCCACGGAAAATTTTAACAGCTGGCTCCAGCACAGCCCTGTGCACAGTTAAGCTGACCCACCAAGTGATCAAGATAGGGAAAGAAGGAAAGGACAGCCAATGCAGAGGTGACAATCTTCTAAAAACCTGAGCCACGGAGTAAACAGAAGCAAGAACCACAAATAGGGCTAGGGACCATAAGACACAGGAAAAGATGAAATGAAAGACAGAGCTCATAAACACTGGAGCAGAACATTTACACGTCATAGTATAATAAATGGCACGTCCACCTCTGTAAGCAGCTGAGGTGGACTACAGGAGTAGGTCACGGAGAGTAAGTAGATTAGGCAATTTGTAAGTCAGGGTACTAAGGCAGCATCAAGTATTGGTATCTCCCAACTTCCACCCGAAGGCCAACTTAAATTTTTATTCTGACAATAAGGTTACCAATTTGCTCTTCTGTATATCTGAGTATTTTATATTAAAGATGCTATTTACATTTTCTTCACATTTTTCTAGGAGACAAATAATTCTGTCTTCCTAAGCTCTTTCTTCTAGCTCAGTTATGGGTTTTGTTTTGGTTTGGTCTTTTTGTAGAGGCAGTAAAGTAGCACAGCAAATGGAGTGCTGGGCCCGGAAGCAGGAAGATCTGAATTTAAATCTGGCCTCAGACATTTACTAACTGTGACCCTGGGCAACTCATTTAACTTCTCTTTGCCCATTTCCTCAACTGTAAAATGGGGATAGTTAACAGAACCTCATCAAATTAGATCATATTTGTAATTTGCTTAGCATCATGCCTGGCACACAGTAGGTACTATATAAATGATCATTCCCTCAAACCCTTCCATTCTAGGGGCTCTCAAATTTATCTTCCTGGTTGTTCCCCCCCCCCCCTCTGCTTTTTTGGCTTCCATTTGGATTATATGTGCACTGTACTTTCTCTCTCTGTCTTTGCGTGTCTCTCTCCCTATGAGGATTTCTTTCCCTACCCTAAATATTCATTTAGAACATTTTTGTCATTTTGAGGTAATAAAACAAAACTGTTTTTAATCATGACTCTTGCAGCCTTTGCATACATACATAAACTAATCTCTGAGAAACAAATACTAACAATAGGATTTAATGAATAAATAAATAAGTAGGGGCAGCTGGGTGGTACAGTGGATAGAGCTCTGGCCTTGGAGTCAGGAGGACCCGAGTTCAAATCTGGCCTCAGACACTTGACACTTACTAGCTGTGTGGCCATGGGCAAGTCACTTAAAAATAAAACGAAAACAAAACAAAAAAAATAAGGAAATAAATATGGATAAGCATAACTTCACCATTCTGCAACTAGCCTTGGGACAAGGACAAAATCACTGTTTCTTTGTTTGCTCTAGTGCTAACTTTCTCAGGAATATAGCAGTAATAATATCCTCTCAATCAGGACTCATTATATAAGCAAGTTTCTTCCAAAGTGTATATTTCAGGCAATCTATGTTTAGCTATATAGCAAGAGTTTAATTTGTATGGCTGGAGTTCAGTTTAGGTTTTTATTTTAATATTTGGTACAATATTAACCTAGGTTTCCAAGACTCTTGGGAAGCTGCATGGTATTAGGTATAAAAGAGAGCTATAAAAATGAACAACTATGATATAATGTGCTTATAAAACAAATGCTTTATGAGACTTCTTGGACTTAAGGAAGCCTGAAAAAGTCTCTCTCTCTCTCTCTCTCTCTCTCTCTCTCTCTCTCTCTCTCTCTCTCTCTCTCTCTCTTGCGAGCACACACGCACGCACACACAAAACAGAATACAAAAACAGAAAACCTAGATCCCTCCACCTCCCAAATCACTGAATTTCTTGCAAAGATGCTCTCCTACCTTTACAAGCCACAAATTATCAACATTAGTGGTAAGAAATTTTTGGCAGAAAAAGTAAGCAAATAAAAATAAATATTGAGCCAGTCATATAGTAGCTTCATAGTTATGTGAAGTCATGACTTAGAATCTCCTTCCTGACTGCTCTTAAGCATAAGATTTAATGAGCTTCTGATTATTTATTACATGAAGATAACTGAAGACACACAGGTAAGATCCATATCACAAGACCAGCATTAGACAACTTTACATGCCACCTCACAACCAGATGAGTTTGCAAAGAAGTTATCTAGCCTTTGATTTGTTTGTGTCTTACCTTGGCTCCTTCTAAAGGCAAATCATGGCGTCTATGTTTTCTCATAAGTACTTGATCAGAGCCTATTCTACTGTGCCTTCCATTTATGTTCGAACTTGCAGTAAGTCCAGGTTTGGGTGAGCCATCCCCCATGATTCGACATCCGAGCAATGTTGTTCCAAACACATCCCTAGGGCACCAGGCTTCAAGGGGCATGGGCTGGTCTCTGGAAGGTACACTTTCCAGATGGTGGAAATGTCTACTTAGTCTGTTGTCAGGTGGAATGGGAGGTGGTCTTTCGGGTGGAGGTGGTGGAGGATCTCGTAAGGGAGGTGGAGGTGCTGGCAGTGGTTTATCTTGCTTCCTCGCCATGCATGGAGAAGACTGTGTACAAATTGGGGAGGAAAAAAACATTGAGCTGCGTTACATTAAAAGTTTTAAAACATTTATTTTCTTAAATTTCATTCCCTTGCCTTTTTCTGATTAAAAAGCCCATTATTTTCATGAGCTATTTAAATGAGATCAGAGTGGTGCATATTATATTTCTATACCATCTGTCAACATATTTCCCTAGTCACAAATTCAACAGCACTGGAAGCTAAATGAGAGAAGCCTAATAGAACATTTCAGTACAGCAGCTTCTGTGCTGGCTGTAAAGCTCAATATTTGAACTTAATGTTTATGGTGTCAAAAAAGAAAGAAGATGGGCAGCTAGGTGGCTCAGTGGATACAGCATCTGCCCTGAAGTCAGGAGGACCAGAGTTCAAATCCGGCCTCAGACCAAACACCTGACACTTACTAGCTGTGTGACCCTGGTCAAGTCACTTAATCCAATTGCCTAAAAAAAAAAACCCAAAACAAAAAACAAACAAAAACCAGAAGATGAAAATGCCCTAAACAATAGTTCTGAATAATTAACATTAAAATAACCCTAAAAATTCATTTATTTGCACATTTCTGTGATTTAGCAGAGAATGAAGAAATACTTCATTTGAAACACTTGAAAACAATTATTTTTAAAAATTCTGCAAGTGTACTGGACGTTCATTTTTTTTGTTATTTCAAAAAGCTATTTAGCATATGATCTTTTAGGAACATTAGAATTTTTAAAATTTTACTTTTATGAACATAATGTGTTCACCTATGCTTTGATTCTTTTGTCTCATCAGTGAAAGATCAAATACTTGAAAGACTTTGATAGAATTATACATATTCTAAAGCACATTTTTCACAGAGCATACAAGGAATTCTACGTGCATTTCCAAGAAGAAAATTAGTCTGATTCTCTTTGTAGAAACATGAGGTATTCTAGTTAAATGAGTCCTCATGCCTGCAAGTGATCTTTAATTTTACTACATTGATCTGATCCAGAAGATAACTTATATTTTTAGATATAAGAAAGCACCAGAGGAAAAAAAGAATCTATTATATGTGTGCATCTGGCTAAATATCACTAATGACTTTTAATGTTATCTAAAAACAAAGCTAACTATCAAGTAAGAAAAACTGAAAAGTATTAGAAATGATGTCTGAGGCTAGCTTTAAATTTAAGCATATTATCAAAATTTTTGTTTATAGGTTGTTTCATAAAAAGCCAAATGATTCCCTTATTACTAAATTTAAGAAAAAAATTTACCCAATGTAATCCAATTTGTGGGTTTCATTAAATGACATGAATTTAGTATAAAAAATAAGTACTACTACCACTGCATATATGTATGTATAATATACATAATTCTTTTGGCTAATTCCATCAAATACAAAAGCTACATATAATGTAAGTCACCTTGAAACACATAATTTGTTACACCTTAAACCCTTATGCAAATATGTTGTCATCACAATTTTCCTGTCATGACACAATGAAAATGAATTTAAAATATCATTGGATAATAGCACGTAATTCATTTTAAATGCATATAATGACCTTTTAAATTCATTTTACAGAATAACTTCAGTTGCTCTGACATTTATTTTTGCAAATCAAAGGATGATTATAGGGACTTCCCTTCTGAAGAAAATGTAATTTCCATGTCTTCTCAAAGTTCAAAATAATATTAGGAAACTGATCCTATTTGTCCAACAACAACTGAGGAAGAAAGGATACGGAATAAGAATTTTTAAAATTAAAGCTTCTTATCACAAAATAATGATTATGGTACCAACAGGTCTTTTTAGTGAAAACTTACTTACTTTTGGTGAACCAGTTGGGCTGGCACAAGGAGAACGGGCCACGCCTTTCTGAATCAGATCCAGGCGAGGAGGCACTGGAGGAAGGCTAAGATGGGGTATCTGAAGAGGATCTGGAAGTGGCTTCCGTCTCTGGGCCAGAGGGGAAGATCCAGGCGATGTCACTGGTGAATTCTGCCTTTCATTGCACTGGAAAGAAAAAGAGAATGAGACCATTCATTAACTTCACTTATGAAGCCTACGACTTTTGATGCCTAAAGAAGACAACTGATTTTAGTAACAAAAACGCTTGGTCTATCTATTAATGGAACTTAGTTCCTTTTGGCTCATGCATGGTATGGGTACTCACAGTGTCCCTAAAAGGCACTGTTATTTAAAGAACATATTGTTACAGTGTTCCTCCTTTGCATCTTGAAATCCAGACTATACAAGTAAGGAGAGTGGAGAGAGAGATATAAGATACGGTTAGCTAAAAATGCTTTTTTTTTTAATCACTACTGGTATTCCTTCTACCGATGCAGTTCACAACCTTTCTACATCTTAGTAGACCTTTCATTTTTAATGTTGCCTAAAAAAGATCATCACCATACAGCCAAACTGGAAACACAGTCTTTCTGAACTTAGTTAACCTGGTCCTAAGGAAAAGAGATAACTGTCTATGCTTGAAGAAATTTCAACTTGATGAGACTTGTAAGAGTTTTGGACCCTCATGGCTAACCCTTGAAGAAGACAGGGTCACTTCCAGACCATAAAGAGGAATTAGAGGAGAACCTCATGGGAATTTTACCAAAAAACCCAAGAAAGATTAATTTTTCCTAAATAAATTGTATCACCTACTATAAGGGAAATTATATCACAGATTTTGATCTCAGTCATCTATGTTATAACAATCATTGGTCCTTAAAGTGGGCATTGGTTTATGTCATGTCTTCTTTAGAAACCATACGGTAAAAACAGAGAATCTAAAATTCCATATTGATGATGAAACATGAATCCATTTTAATCTCACTGAAGATCTGTTTTTCTCTAAGCCATGTAAGTTCATTTAACTTCCAGTAGGAAAGACCTTTGAGTCACAGATATAAACCCTACACACACACACAACACACACACACACACACACACACACATATAGAGATGTGTATATTTATATATGCACATGTGTATATAAATACATCAGAAAATATTAAAAAGTCTTAAATTGTCTGGAATTCTTTAAGGATAGCAGACTAAACAAAGAAAACAGTTTGTGTTCTCTAGTGAAGATTAAATAAGTATCTTCAAATCACAAGATTTTTTTATTAGTTTATTGATTATATGTTAAAACTTTCTATTTTAGGAATCATCCTTACAATACTGCTGTTACCTTGCACAATGTTCTCCTGATTTTGTTCATTTTACTTTCTATCAGCTCATATAACTCTTCCCAGGTTTTTCTGAAACCATCCCCTTGGTCATTTCTTATAGCACAATAGTATTCCATCACAATCACACAATACAACCTGTCCAGTCATTCCCCAATTGATGGACATCCTCTCAATTTCCAATTCTTTGCCACCACAAAAAGAATTGCTTTAAATATTTTTTTCAGATGGGTCCTTTTCCTTTTTCTTTGATCTCTTTAAGATATAGACCTAGCAGCATGCAGTGTTCTTAATAAAGTCACTTGAAGTATGGTAAAGAGTCCATTCTTCTCTATACTGGGGCCACCAGCTGACAATCTAATTTCAGCTTTTACAATGTTTAAAAAAGACTCGATTTTCACATCAATATAGTTTCAGTTTTTAAAATCTGAAACATATGGTATAATAGGAATTTGTGTATATAAACATTATTTAGCCATACTACACATTTATTTTTCAACTACTGATTTAAAAGTTCTGGCAGTTAAGAAGCATTAAGATCACACCTCAGGAAAAAAAGTACCAGACAGGCTTCAAATATCTCACTATATGCTGTATTGTCAAGTCCTTGTGTCTTGATGGATGCCAAACTAATTTTTAAAAAATTAACTGAAGCACAGTGAAATTTATTTTACAATTTTAAATACTTACTACTACTGCAGATTGGCAACAGTTCTACAACTTAGATGTTTAGAAAATTGCCTAGGAGATTATGCTTTTAGTGGAATTAATGTTTGAAGGCTACTGATGGTTCTTACTTAAAAAAGGGAATAAAATGATAGATATAGAATAAATAAGTCTGCTCAAGTCAAAACTTTGATGTAAAATGAGTATTTGTATCTATCAGTTCAGCAGGGAAGTCTCCATGAAGGAAGGTGAAGGAATTCTTGGAGTAGAAAAGTAATTTATCATAAGGTAGGTAAAATCCCACAACACAGAACACATGCTGTTGAGGTAAGCCAAAGCTGTTTCTCTAGGGAGAGTATTTTGTTGATCTTCTTTAAGCAAGACCTCTTAAAGAACTTACAGAACAAAGAATAATTTGGAAGCAATGTCGTCTTGAGTTTGTGCCCAAAGTCACATGTTAAAAAGAGGGATTACAGTCAGTATGTAATGACATCCTGTTTTGCAGAGCAATTGTTAATGCACTGCTGAGTGTTAGAATTGGGGATAAGGGACAGAATACATGAAGCTCATCATTTCAACAACTGTCTTTCAGACACTGCCCAACTCAAATGTTTCATCAAAACAAACTTTCAAACAAAAAGAGGAATTGAGATAAAGAAAGAAATCAGGAACATCAAATGTCACCTGAGGCAATTTTAGGAGTATATAAAAGACCCCGTTTTTACTTAACATTTTAATAAAATGCAAGTTTTCTGAACTAAACTGGTTATCAAAGTAAATTTTAAATGGCATTTGTAAACTTTTTGGTATAATTTCAATGGAGTTTTTAGTGCATCCTAATTCATCAACAAAAGGTGAAAGGAAGAAATACGGCTTGGTTCACATTGCATCCATTAAAAGAGAAAGCTGTATTTTTATGGATAAAATTATCAAGGAAAGTTTTCTTCTTCAATTTTTCTGGGAAAAACACTTTTTAACTGGAATGATAATGACCAAAATCTTTCAGTAAAAAGGGAATTTTATAGTACTTGAGCACTCTCAGCCAAGTGTATCTTCATTTCTATTCTACTCTGTTGATTACCTCTCTGATTCCCCTTTACCTCCAATGCCTTCCTTTTTAGGTTTCCTTTAACCTGTCAATGGCATGCAGGGAATAGCTTGGCTGTCTCGTTGTACTCATGGAGGCTGCTGACATCTGCTTGTCCTTCTGTGTTCAGAACTCTTATTTTTCCTTGCTGATTTATCAGTCTTTGCAGATTGGAAATCTGGTTATAAGCAACATGTTCATGATAAAAATATTCAGTGACAGTAAATACAATTCTAAGAATGGACAGGACCTTTGAGATCTTTAGTGAGTCATCACCAAATTCAACACCTTCCTTTTACAGCTGAGAAAATAAACATAAGGATCCTAAGTTATCCACCAGGACTAGCCAGCACTCCTGATTTCTAATTCTACTAAAAAATTAACCACTAGTTCGAATTGATCATTTACCAATTCAGATTCAAGTAATTCTATTAAATTCCTCACATTCTAAATAATGGGCTGGATTTAATTTGTGAAAGAGGTTATTAATATAACACAAGGGCCAACTATGAAAATTCTTGGGCCAGAGTTCCAATAAACTCTTATGAGGCACTAGGAGCACTTAACTCCAAGACCAGCAGGCACCATACAGCTCTGTCCACATAACTGGAACCAGGCCTTACACTTAGCACAAGTCATTGTGTTCACAGAAGTTATGTACTGTTCTCTGAAGCACTAATTCAATTTGAAGCATTATAATAGCTGGAAGTGGATTTAAAACAGTAATTTTTATGGAGGGCACACTAGTTTGGGAAAGAGAAAATAGGCTTTACTTGTTGCGTCAATGAAATTCATTGTCTGTAGCTTATTATCTGTTTTCCAGATTCTTTATATTCTGCAATTAAATTTTCAAGAAAAGGATAAATAACCAAATACTGCCTTACAGACATTAATGCAAGTTGTTTTTACAAAATCTGTAGCTATTCATACCAACAATTATGCCACTATGGTAATAAAATTATCCACTACTATTAATTGGTTGTGAAATTCATATTCTGTGACAATTTAAAAATAATATTTTAAATAGACGGTTTTGAAATAAGATCCCACAGTGAAGTGAAAAGAATTGATTGTTTAAAAAAAACTATTGGGTTTCATTTTCTTCTCTGGTAAACCAATGTGGGGGGAAAACAAACCAAAAAAACTGAAACTAAATAAAACCTAAAGAAGAAGCTGGTAGTATACAGTGGACAGAGAACTGGACTTGGACACAGGAAGATCTGAGTTCAAAAATGGCCTCAGACACATTACCTGTCTGACCGTGGACAAATCATTTAACTTTGTCTCAGTTTTCTTGTTTATAAAATGGGGACAAAAATAGCCCATACTTCCCATATAAAGTAGAAATGGAACACTTTTAAACCACAATGCAATCCTTAGTGTTATAAAAATGTTAGTTATTACTACTATTATTATTATTAAGTAGCTATGGATTTAAGTGATTTATCAAGACTTTGGAAGATATTACATGTTATTTTGGAAAGTCAGATACAGATTTACTAGCTTAGTAACAGAAAATTTTGTTTCTTCTTTGTGTGAGAAGAGGCAAGAGAACAAGGGGAGAAAGTGAGAGAAAGGAAAATATTCATACATTACAGATCTGGATTTGTTCAGATTTAAATATGAGAAAAATAGTAATTTTTTTCATTGTCTCTTTTAAGAGAAAGCCACACTTAAGTATATTCAAGAGATTTCAGGTTGAGGGGTCAAAAAGAATAATTTAACTCTTTTCTGCCAATTCTCACCCAAGACTGAGTTCCAGATTCATCACCAAGATGCCTGAATGTATATAGAATTTCATTATTATCCCTTCCCAATTCACCTACTTGGCTAATTAGTATCCTCCTGACTAAATCTGACTCTTTAAACTCCCCAAATCATACATTTCAATGATGCCATTACAAAAATTTTAGACTCCCATATCTTCTTAATGTTCCCCAATTCCTCTAATGAAATCCTAGAGGCAACTAGTTGACACGGTAAATAGAGTGTCAGTCCTAGATTCAGAAATATCTGAGTTTAAATTAGGCATCAGATACCCTGGGCAAGTAACTTAACTTAACCCCTGTCTA